CGCAACAAAACAGACGTACATATGTTGTACGGAGGATTGCATACTGCACGCCTAGCCACTCCCTAGCCACGTCCTAAATTCTCCGAGAGAGTTACTAAAAATTTCTGATTAAACACATTCGTCTCTAGGTAGTCAAGGGTCGTGACTGTTGATTACTCGAAGAAACTGCAACGATGTCAAGCAGCTGTGACACTTGTGGCCTGTTCTTTTTAGCTGCACTACTGAACTGGTGCAATAAGTTAAAATGGAACAAGATATTTTTTCTCACTTTAACTTATTGTACCAGTGTACATCAGTGTAGTTGAAAATAAGTGCTTTTATCGTTTTCTGATTACTAATAATGTTACGATTATTCCTAACCCGTGAACGTTACTAATAATGTTACGATTATTCCTAACGCGTGAATAGATAACTGCGTTTATAAACGTATACAAAATATCGACTTATCCACTAATCTGTTCTTTTCAACCGCTAAACTAGTGCAATAGGTTAAAAAAATAGGTGAGAAAAAAATATGTTTGTCCCACTTTAACTTATTGCACCAGTTAAGCAGTGCAGTTAACAAGAACCACAAATGTCACAGTTGTTTGACATGATTGCAGTTTCTTCAAGTAATCAACAGCCTCGATTCTTGATTATCTACAAATGAAATGCTTCGAATTAGGTTGAAAATTTTTAGTAACTCTCAATTAGGACACGGCTAGGGAATGGCTAGGCATATATGCAATCCTGTGTGTACGTACATACTCACGATGCAGGTCCCGATCGGCGATACGTTCAGCGAGTCGCGCGCGTGCGATCAAAACGCACGTCGCCGCGGTTCAGCCGATTTGCCTCGTCGAAGATTCCGCTCTCGCGTGCAAAATCGATTTAGAAACGCGATAGCGCGAGCGCGAGCGCGCGCGACGCTTCGATTGCGTTTCCGAGCAGCGCGGTTGCTCCATTTAGATCGTGTTATACAATACGGGCGCCAAGTGACGTTTTATTCAATTTCCAGTTAGTGCGATATGATATCCGTACGTAAAATTGATTATAACTTCGTTTTTAGTAAATCCCCCTCCTCCTCTCCCGGACGCACGATAAATTCTATATCGAAGTGATATTTTCACCACTCACGTTAAAGTCACTGGACATTCTTAATTTGTGAATGGTGCTCAAACGTGTGCTTGTCAATCTCTTCATGTACCATCTTTGTAATTCGATTGTAAAAGCGCGCGACCGAATCTAAGTGAATTTGTTCTCCAAGAGGACAAAGCAAACGTTTTTAAGTACCCACTCATACCGTGTCTATATAACTTACGAATGTGGAATGCTCGATTGCTTCAGCGAAATGTTTCAAGAATCGTTTTACAGAATCGCTATGGCTATTTACGGGCCTCTTGTCAAAATACATAAAGCGCCCCAGAAATGTTCGCCTGCAGTTTCTTGACGAAATTTTTTTTCATTAAATCTCGCTACGATACTTTACACATACATAACATACCTTTGGAAAATTTATACGCGTTTCTCCGATAAAAGCAGTTTTCGTGCACCGAGAGAAGAGACATCTAAGAAGTAAAAAATATTTCTTCGGTGGATGTTAATAACGCTTAAAAACAAATTATTTTATTTAATAGAATAAAATCTACCGCTTTCATGTTATTAACTTTTAGTAAAATATAAATATCTTATTTCTCAGATATTTTTCTCTCAGTGCAGCGCTCTCGATATAATTCCCTCGCGAGTAGAACACGCCCCAAAAACATGTGCATACACTCGTAGAGAGGAAAGTTGGTCGTAATTTTTCGAGTTTGAGTATTTTTTTGAGTTTGCAACGTCTTATCCAAATGTGAAAACTCGTTGTTTTTTAATGGGAGCATATTTCTGTTAGACAAGACGGAGAGTTCGCAAACTTCTCGAAAAATTATCGCCAATCTTTCTGTTTACCAGTGTGCAGTGAGTTGCAAAACGACTTAGACAGAATAAACTTCAGAGCATAGCCGATAGTCCAATGAGAGAATTTATTTTTGAATAATTTGTCCTCTTATTGGACCATTAGCTGTGCTCTGAAGTTTATTATATTTGAACTTGTACAGTCGCGGACAACAAAGTTGATTGATTTAAACTTTTCACACGATTCAATTTCTGATGTACTCAGAAACTGTACACAGTGGAAGAAGTACATGGTGCTTCGCGACGATGAAGCGCGCGAGCGCAGATGATTCGGCCTCAGCAAAAATTCGAATCGTGATTAAGGAAGTCGTCGTAAATACGGCATCGCCACGAGTTGCTGTCCCGAGGGATCGTCATGTCAGCCCGCCGACGAAACGTCGCTTCGGCGGAAATCCGGACCTCGCGCGGCCCGGAATGATATTTCGCTGGATTGGCGGGTTCCGCCAGAAGCGATCGACTACGCCGGCACGAGTTCGGCGTATCCGTTTCTACGGAGTTCGAGGTGTGATCGGAATATAATCGAATTCGCGCGCGAATTATCCCGGCGTCTGCTACGCCGCAGTGTCGGACAAGTTCGGCGGTGCCGTGCATAACAATTCGTCTCGTATTTTCGGGCCGGCCACCTTCCGACGACGTTCCGCGGGGACAGCCGGCATACTTCCAGCGACGTTCCTCTTCATCCCCGTACCTGTTGATCGTCGTTAAATCGAAGGATTTCTTTGTGCGTCGCAACGAGTCGAGCGCATCTTCTTCGATTTCGCGACAAAAACTAGGGGGAGGAGAAGAAGTCGCCGGAGAAATTTGTCACGGGTACTTCGGGAGATCAACGAGATCGGGTTTACCCCTTTCTTTTTTCCTCGAACGTGTTCTGTTGCGAGAATACGGTCTATGCGAAATCATCTTTGTATCTCCCGGCGACGTTTGCAGTCATCGTGCTCAAATTGGCATGATTACTTCCACACAACTGGCGCTTTATTTAATTCGTCCATTACACTTCATTAATTTGATATTCATAGTGCGAACGTACAAATCTAAAAATTCATGTGACACGTCGCGTATATCGAACGGTATGAGTATTATATGATGTCAAAAATTTAGATATTAAAAAATGTAACGTCTACACGGAAAAAACGGCATGATTAGTCTATACATGAATCTGGTTATGCTAACTAGACTCGAAAGTAAAATATGGAGTAATTAATTATGTGGCTGTTGTACATTGAACGGCACGAGTATAGTGTCAAAATTTCAAGTATTAAAAATACTTACACGGAAAAACAGTGTGGTTGGGCTAACCAGATTCGATAGTAATATGCAGAACAATTAATTATATGGAAATATTTGAAAAGCTTATAAGGAGCGAAGCACGGATGTCTTAGTGCCATTAGATATTAATAATAGTTTTTTAATAATATTAATATGATAGTGGGAGGATAATATGTTCAGCATGTTAAACGCACGTATCGGAATTTTTTCTCGATCATCGTACGTGGCGAATCAACCTTCCATACTTAGATCGATCCTTAAGTCCCAAACTTTTATATATATATATTTAAAGTTTGGGACTCAAGGATCGGTCTAAGTATGGAAAGTTGATTCGCCATGTACGATGATCGAGAAAAAATTCCGATACGTGCGTTTCACATGCTGGACATATTATCCTCCCACTATCGCATTAATATTGTTAAAAAACAGTATTAATATCTAATGGCATTAAGACATCCGTGCTTGGCTCCTTATAGACCTTTCAAATATTTCTGTTAGTTAGACAAAAGGAGCTTTCTATAATTTCAATTAATTATATGGTTGCTGCAACTACAGAGCAATTCCTGAGTTACAGTGACGATATCTGGTTGCTCCAACAAGAATATATCCATAGTAAATGTCACCCTAATTGACTTCTGGCTGCCACAATCAGATCACGCGCAATTATATGGATTTAGTAATATTGATGTTCCAAAGCAACTAAGTTGTATCACATTACCATCGCATAAAAATAACCAGAATGATGCAACTATGCTGTTCATAATTAAAAATATTTTTCTGTGCGTCATATCTTTTTGTCCTGTGCACATAAACAAAGTCAATAATTAACGTCAATAATTTTGGCTCAATAATTTTGCAATAACACAATGACGGTGGACAATGCCTGAAGCGACGTTTTATCCAAAATTCCTTGCTTTTTGTACTTAAAAAAAATCACACGATTTTCATTTCGAACTGTCAGTGGTCGAGAATGCGAGACAACTGAAGCACGGAGGGATGTTTGCGCGTTCCACCGTAAATTGCACACGATAGAACGCGGCAGACTCGTGATACGTGCAACGTGGAGGAACACACACGCACACCTTTGGTGTTTCTAAAACGAAGTGAGAGATGACATTTGTAACTTCGTACAATGTACGAAACTATCGCGCGATCTACGGCAGCGATAAGCGTATCTGCGCTGTGAGGTATGCGACAGTTCTTATCATCAGGCGTAAGCGAAACACATAACAGGTATAATCACGGTGATTGAACCACGCAGACTATCTAATCACTGGCAAAGGGGATTCCCGAATGGCCCGCGAATTTCTAGATAAATTCACGAAGACGCCCGCACGGTGACGAATCTGATACGAGCTCGATCATGAATATAATCGTTAAAGTGAACATCTTTTCGAACACATATATAGTCTAAATTAGATTTGTCGATGACATTAGGAGTTTCTACTTCGTGACGCTATTCATGAGTTTATCAGCGATAAGTTATAATCCCCGAAACTATTCCTCGGCTGATTAAATCGACATGAAACATCAATTCATCCCTCTTATCACCATTTATTCGGTAATACCGCAATGGCATTCACTCACGCAAGTTTTTCATAAGGAAACAGCCAGATCTCCTCGAATCCAACTGGTCTTATAGCCGAGATCGGAGCGCCGTTTCGGAGCACCATTGCGGAGCACCCGGACAGTACCCGGAGCGGGAATTTCGCAGGAGCGCCAGTAATTTCGACGGTTCGGGCTCGGGGACCAGATGGTCCGGTCCCGAAGAAAGAGAGGATCGGTTTACTCGAGAAACTCACCTCGGATGCTGTCACCAGGCCGTTCGCCGCGATCAGCAGCAGGAGCAACGCACTCTTTAGCAACACACGGTTCTTCATCTCGTCGTTGGTCCCCCGCGGCCAAGGAGTCACTCTTGTCGACCTCTTCGCCCTCTTCCTGACTGATCCTCCTCCTCTTCCCTCTTTCTCGATTCCCTCTTCTCTCTCTATTTACGTATCCCCCTTTCTCGTTCGCTCGCTCGCTCGCTCACTCTCTCTCTCTCTCTCTCTCTCTTTCGTTCTTTCTCTCTCTCGACCGGCACCACGGGACACCACCTCAGCGACGGTGCATGGCGAGAGACGAGCGAAGGAAGAACGATTCCTCCAAGGACGTACGGCTGCCCTCTCGTCCTGCGGATAACGCTCGTCGGGAGAGTCTCTCCTCCTCGATGGTCCGGCTCCTCTCGCGCGGACGTTCGCGAGCGCGCGGGCGGACGGAAGCTGACGGACCGACCGGGGCCGGAAACCGCGGCACACGACCGGAACTCTCTCTCCCTCTTGCTCTTTCTCTTCCAATCTCTTTCCGTTCGCTCTCTTTACTCGCAACTCGTCGGCGAGGAGGCCGCGCGCCACACCGTGGCCAACAACACCGTACCGGCGTTCGGTAGCGTCTGAGAGGCCGAAGCGCGCCGACAAGATAAAACTTTTTCAAAAGCCCCCGTGGTTTTCCCTCTCCCCGCCGTGTCCGGCTCTTTCTCTCTCTCTCTCTCTCTCTCTCTCTCCCCCTCTCTCCCTTCTTCTGTTCACTCACTCTCCTCGTCCCGCGTCCACGGCCCGACTTCCTCTTTCTCCACGTTGGATTCTCTCTCACGGGAGAGTTCGTCTTTCCCCTCCACCTGCTTCGTCCTTCCTCCCTCTCTGTTTCTCTCTCCCCCTCTCTCTCTCCTTGCCATTTCGCCGACGCGATCTCGCGGCCTCCCACTACTCTCCGGATCGGCACGTTCCCTCTCTCCCTCCGTTTCTTTGATCCGCCGTCTCGCTCTGTCATCTTTCCCTCCCGCCGATCGCCCTTCTCTCAGTCTCTCTCTCTCTCTCTCTCTTCCTCTTTTAACCCCCACCGACAGCACGCGGTGGACGCGCGTCTCCCTCGGACCCACGTCCCCCGGGATCCTCTCCTCATTCCCACCGTGGTCAAAGTTGCTCCCTGCCGCCGCCGACGCCGCCGCCACTGCCGCTGCCGTCGCCGCCGCCGTCGAGCGGCGGGGGAGACCGAAGCTTAGGAAGCGGTCGGCCGGCGGGCGAAGATCACCGTTGCGCGTTTTCACGCCCGCACTCTTCGTAATCGAGGAATGATCGCGATACTTCGATACTTGTGAAAGTATCGAGGGGTTGTCGCTGACATCGGGTGCTCTTCGCGTCGTGATTCGTGCGAGAGCGAGGATGAGGAGTCCAGTCAAATTCTTATTCGATTAACAGATTAAATTTTGGAGATTTTAATTAATTTTGCACACACACATAAGAGTTTGAGTAAAAAGACCGTACTTTCTCTCCACGTCAGTACGATGAGTGAATGCAATTTTTGATAGACGTACCCGTTACCTCGTTCAATCGACTTCTCACTCACGAGAATTATTAAACACAGTTAGTTGCACTTTACAGCCGAATCGATGAGGCGATACCGCAAATGCCAGTCACTCTCGCGAAAACACTCATATCCCATTTTGCACAAGAAATAGTTTATACCACAGAATCTATATAGATAGTTCAACGTCAATATGTCGGATATTTTCAAATACTTTAAAGCGATATGTAATAACGAATTTGAGGTATTCAATCGCTAGGCGTAGCAATCAGAAATAGACGTAATGAAGTGGCCATCAAATATAGAAAACTGGGGTAATCTGTATTGGACTATAAAAGTGCAAAATGCACAAATAACTAATAGTGTTTTCATCTATGTTACGTGTCAAGTGACTTTAATTGAGACGTCTGACTCGCGACTTAATTACCGCAGCAATCAATACTAGAAATTAAAAAAAAAAAACAAAAAGAGTGGAGTCCAAGTAAATATTTGCGCGAAATATTGTGATATTTGATGCAAAATGTGGCTGTGTGTGGTGCATCTCGAGTGTTATCGCAAAATTGCGAAAGATGCGTGTTAAGCGCTTAAGGAGATAAATTTGGTTTGGAAGACCGCAAAAAAGGTATTTTCCTGAAATATTTTGTAGAGAAACGAAGAAATCGAGTAACGTTAGACTTTGCATATTCCTTTAACTTCATTTTAAGAGTATATTTTTATTGTCTAAGTGATAAAAGTGCTCTTCTTTTGTATATAACAAATACTATACATTAGTCTATTTTTTTAATAAAATACGAAAAATACTTTGAGGAAAAGATGAAACTTTTTAATGAAAAGTCATTGTTTTGTCCAAAATGGTAATAATATTGTTTATTCTAGTTCAAACGATAGCTACATCCTTTTTGAATAAAAAAATTTTTGGTTTTTGTATTTCAGATACCTGAAAGGAGAGCTAGGATGCATCGTCCGTACACATTCTTTTTGCACGCGCGAGTTCCTACACTAAGAGAATAATTATCTTAAAATCAACAAATATTTCTTTGATGGATGCCATTAACATATTTTTACTTAAAAATTTAAATTCTCTTTATTTAAATCAAATATTTTAAGATAATGTTACTCTTAGTGTAGTTAACCGAGATACAACATGCAAAAGAAGAGCGTTTCAATCTTTCTTTCTCACTTGGACAATAAAAGTATATTTTAAAAATAAAACTTAAAGAACATATGCGCGAAAAGTTTGACGCTATCCGATTTATTGTTTTCCTAATAAAAATTCCGGAAAAGTATCTTTTCTTGCGATCTTTCAAGCCAGAATACCCCTTTAAGTTATATTTTGCGACGTGTGCGTAAAACGAATTTACATTTCGCGCAAACCGGAGTCAGCCGCGACGCAGCGCTCGTAATCATCGGCCCACGCGCCTTCTCGGGGACGCTGATGAAAAGAGCATAAAAAAATAGCGTTTCCTCGTAGACGCAGTGGGCCTTTCTCGCACCGTCGCGACAACTCGGCTCGGCAACACATGCGAGGGTGATCTTTTTTAAACGTGCCGATGTCACGCAGCCGCTGTCGGTTTCGCGCTCGCTGCGTCCTGCGTTCGACAAACGAGATGCATCTGTTCGCCTCAACCTAGCGACATTCCCGATATAAATTTAGGCCGGATACGCCGTGGCCTCGCGATGTGTGACAATTATCGCGACGATTATCTTTGAAAAAAGCCGAGAACAGTCTACATGTCGCGGAGGAGTGGACGAGCCAGCTACGTGGATATTTCGCATAAACACTTAAGATTTCAAACGAAAAATACCTTTACATGCGATCTGTGGCGATTATAGCGATCTATGGTGATTATTTTCAATTTTATTATATTTCTAATAAGATTGTAAGATATCTTAAATCGTAAAGTCTATCTTGCTAAGGAACGTAGTAAATTTCGTTAAAAACATAGCAAATTTTTAATAACACATTTCACATTTTCTTGAAATATGAATAGAATAGAAGGATAGTCAATTGTATTATAGGCTTCAGAATATCAAAATAAATGTTGAATGTTGTATGTATGTGTGTGTAATAGTAGTACAAAAATTTTGAAATGTAAAAACGATTTCGATCTAGGTTAAATAGAATTAAAAGAAATTGATGTAAGTTTCAGATTATCGAAATAGATGTTGAATGGAACAGTAAGGCTGAAAATAGGATGAAAATTCCGACTGTTGGGGGATTACGTTAAGACTGAAGGAATGTTGGTCGCGATCGGGCAATAAATCTTCGAACTCCCGCTGACGGCGATTAATCTCTCCGGTCGAGAGATTAAGACACACGGATAGCACGTGAACCCCGTGTAAACACGCACGGCGGAGACTCGCGGAAGGGTGCGATGCGAAACGCAGGCTGCTATCATCGGCACAGTTATCGGTAATACCAAAATAAATCTCACCAAAGAAAAACGTAGCAAACCGATGATTTACGACACGACCGCCGGATGGTCCACGATCGCGCACGTGTCTCTTCTTCTCCTCTCGTCCGGCGCCCGTTCGAGAGATGATCGCCCTTTTCTCGCGATTTGCTTTCCGCCTATCTGCCGCAAGAATCAAACACTCGTGCATTTCGTAAGAGATAACGTGAGTGGGTTTTACAAGAGATGCATTTGGAGAGCTCGCTATTAGCGCTATTTAACGCTACCATGCCATTCTGTCCTTGTTGTATATCTAAAGAACAATAAACATACAAGAATATGTAATAATATAATTTTTACAAATGTAAGAATAATTCTAAACGTTTCATTCGTTTGGACCTTCTCCAATATAAAATTATGGGTACGGTCCAACGGGCGCTGCAAATGCTTTGTAGCGTTTTTACTTCTCTTTCTTCATTCGAATCCGAGGAATAGAACAAGAGAGAGAAACGCTGGGCAGCGTTTGTAGCGGTTGTTGGACCGCACCCTATATTACCTTACAGTATACCAGCAATAAACATACGCAAGAACGCAGCGTTGGTAGCGTGTTCCTCGAACGTACCCAAGCAGATATCACCACACGCACCGAATGCACCTGTCGCGGACACCTTCGCGCGACTTTCTACGTTTCGACGGGCTATTATTCGCTCAATTATGAGTTTCTATCTGACAAGAGATCTGACGTTTTCCTTTTTGTCCGAGTCAAATCAATGAAGTTTGTCACCAGTCGATAAAGAACGTTTCAATAAGTGCTGAAAGTGAAGATTATATGTGCGAACTCATCGGGCTTTCAGAAATGTGTTCATTATTCCATAATTATGTCCAGTCATCATTCTAGAAGTGCCAAAATGATAACTAAAATTTCGACCTGGGCTATTTGTTACATCGGTACTGTTTTGATTTTGAGAACCTCTCCACTTGTCACTTTGCATGTTATGTTCGGATTACCGAATTCCGATGTGCACACTGCGACGTCCGCGCTTCATTCATTGCTTTTTAATTGCACGCGAATTGGTAAGAATAAATTTTCGTACTTTTTTGATACTTTTATCTTAAAAAAAAAAAAAAAAACAATGATTATAAGGAAAAATTACCTAATCCTGGCTATTCTTATTGTTTTGATCTTGGAATATTTGTATATTTGAAGATCAAAACAATAAGAATGTTTAGAGTTAGGTACATATCAAGGTGTATGGTATTTCTACTTTAATTTCCAAATTATAACAGCGAGAGTTTCGCCATAGTCGGATCATGAATGACGACAATCACAAGGCGACGCGACAGAATAACAGATTGGTGAGTGACTTTAGCGGAGCGCGATGACTCGTGAGCGAAACGCGCTCTCTGAATTATGTCATTGACTCTAAGAAACTATTTGCGGGGTCAATTTCGTTATCCTCCGAGTGAAAGCTCAGTTAATGTTAGAGAGAGAAAGAGAAAGAGAGAGAAAGAGACTGTCCCTGCTCTTCTTCATCTGTGTCGAACGCGAAGTCGCCAACGGACATTCGATGTTTAGTTGCGTCACAAGAGCTGTGCGAATAGTGGAGACAATTCATAAACTATGATAAATCGCGTGCAGTACCATCCACGCAACTGAATCATTCACAATTGCTTTCTGCTCGTTGATTGGTCGTCATTCATTAACATTCATCAGACATTTACAGGGTATATTTAACCCTCCGCGGTCTGAGTCATCGTCGACATTTCTTTCGCAGCCGATTCACGAAAATTTAGTCACTTCGCGACAATGTCGTGCAGTTTGCGTTTATTTTAATAATTTAGCATCTGATTATAATACAACAACACGTCAATACTATACTCTGATATGTATTGAATATAGCATTAATGCGCAAAAGACTATCAGCATAATATTATCAATTATAACGAAACACAATGTCGAAGTTGCCTCAATATAGAACTGAAAAAGAAAAAGAGTACCTTTTCATATTGCAATGTCGAATTAAGCGGACAAATAGTCGGATTTGTAATCTGGTAAACAACAACCAACAGTAACATTACGTCAATGTTATTTCCCACTCAATACGCTGTAACTGTTACATAGCACACGTATTATATTGAATTTACGTTGTTGAATAGAAAATTGTAACATTGATGTTATGTTCCTGATAGTTGGTATTTATTGGGCAATTACATCGTAGAATAGTGCAACGTGTAAACGAATGCTCCAGACATTGTGCGCATTCTTAGAATGAATATTATCGAAGAGAATCAACTGAACTCGAAATTTTGCAAAAAGAAAAATGGAAAAAAACGAAAGCAAAGGAAAAGCGCACGATGTCTTGGACGTCATGTGTGTGTTCATACGTTCAATTACAAATGTTATTTTATTATCACATGTGCTATCGGTACATGTCATCATTCATATCGTCGTTAGTTGAACGCAATAAACGGCAAAAATATAGCTTTTTCTTTTAACACAACATTCAATCGTTCGTTAACGTGATAATTAACCGCGGGTAAATATAATACACACTGGATTTGCGTCATGGTGGAAAAACGATAAGATCAACGTAGCAACGAAAAGCAGTAAAAATCGTATGTAGTAAAAGATCAGTCGAAAGATGTGTATGTAGTAAAAGATCAGTCGAAAAAATGTTTCTCATCGTTTATGTAAGTACAATTATTTGATCCTAGAACTACACATCTCTTATATTTTTGGCTGCATCTTCGATGCAATCGATACTCTATCGTTTTTTAAGTCTCTTACTAATATTAAACGACCCGAGTGTAACAATCCGCATCTTTATACAGAATATAAGTATCCGTACCTATAACTTTTGCCTGTAAAAATAGGAGCGAATGGGATAACAACATACGAAAGTGTCTGGAGTTTGTTTGCCAGTAGATCATGACAATTCTGCTCCGCAACACATACATATTTTTTAGGGAGATAAATTATTTTCCTCTCACGATTCATCTTATTTGTGTTAGAGAATTTATATGTCTCATGCTAAAACAAAACAATCAACCGTTTGCTCCAGAACATTAACTTCGTGACTATAAGTATTCGTGTTGTTATCTCTTATTCGTTCAAGGACGCGCTGAATTCAGTGCGTAACGAATATAAGTTTATGTATTTTTCTTCAGAGAGACAAAACATTTGTCTTCCGTGATTGTTACTTTACTCGTTTACTCGGTTTTTTAGGCACGACCGATCTCTTACTTTTAGTATATTGAAACTTATTTGTGAAATAACGCATCTTACAGAACAGAGAACTGTGTCGATTCTTTCTAAATTTTTTTATTTATCGAATTTAATATAATTGTGCTCAAAGAATAAAATTTCAAATTGGTATCGTTCAGAAGTATAGTGATAATAAAATTGAAATGATATAGAAAAATCCTACGGAGAATCCCTCAATTTAATGTCGACGTCATCAATCGGTCGTACCTACCGCAAAGAAGCTTCGCTTTATCGCGTGTTAAGTGGCGAAGCGACTTGTCGGATCGCGAGCCACACAGTGCGCTGATTAATTCGACCGTAATAATCTACGAAAGAATCGCGTCGATCTGTTTTGGCGGCTCGCGAGATGGTTTCCCCTCTTACAATCGATACATACTTAGGCTGCAACAGAGGATATAAAAGCTAAGCGGTATGCGCTCAAGTTAATTGGTATTATATAATCACATACAGTAATCACTCAAAGTCACAATAGTACATGTATGCAAACTTGGCAAATTTGCATTATAATATATAACAATCTGTAATTAAATTAGTTTCACTGTTAATCGGGCCATAAACACTCTTGTTTCAAACGCGCAACTTCTCGTTTTTGCCGTTGGAACCAAACAGAAAGATCGGCGTGTATGGCATGTAACGTAATACTACTTTAATTCATGCGACAAACGTGTGTAACCAGTCCTATCCATCCCTATCACAAAACAGAATCATAGTAGGAAACGAAATCTCACTTAGAATAAGTGTATCACAAACGTCATGTTTGATGACCAGATCAATCGTTAGAAGAAACAGCAGAGTGATAAAGATGAGCGTGACTAGTATAATATTACATTTTATCGTTATTACAAAAGTATTAAACTTATGAAATCTACTGCACGCAGTTCGCGATTAGTCGGTTCTTCGAACTTGACTGTAAAATTTGTTCAACTGACAATTTTATAATATCATGTCGCAATATCAATTCATCATATATACATATATATATACATATATATGTATATATATGCGCGAACATGAAATTATATAGTTTAAAGGATCCAAATTACAGCTATTCTATATGAAATACACACTCCATCGTCTATCGTACAAAAGTCGTTAAAAGAGTCGGTGTTCGAAACTCATACTTTCTAAACCAAACGTGTTTGTGAAACTACGGTTTGGCATGTACAAGTGCTCGTGTGCCTTTTTGTGCAATATATAAACGCGATCATTTATTACATCATTATAATTATAATATCGTAACAAATATATGATACGCTGCAGTCCACACGTCATACACGTAATAATGTGATTTTCGTAATAATGAATTTAACAAGAACATTAACAGATCGATCGATATGAATAAGTATTTGTTTTATGAGGTATATATAACAATTTTCTTTTTAAATGCGATGTAAAATATATCACATACGAATGATATACTTCACATCACGACATCAGTCGCGTTAATAACAAAGAGTTATTGATGCTCTCATCGAAGTGTTTCGGCATATAAAGCGATAATACAATATTAGTCCAATCCACAACTTCATAAACTGTGATGTTAAAGTAAAAAAGAATGAGAGAGCGAACTACAAATAAATATTATGTACAATTGAAATATATAATACGACGTATTCAAATGTGACGTAAAATTTTTTGTTCATCTTATAATGTAAGAACATAAAACCATATTATTAATTGCTTATATTAATATTGATCTTATTTGAAATAAGGGTAATACGAACGAAAATATACAATTGCATTAGTCGTTAATTTGTGCTTCTCACTTGTACAGTTATTGATGTCTTGATGTATAGATGCAGTTTGAATTTTTACCGTTGTGGAAGTATTCAATATTTTCATTATAAAATGCCAGTATGTTGTATGTAATAAGTAATTAAGTGCTTACGATTCTTCATTAAAAAGAGTACTAGTAAATAAAAACTAAGTATTCGAGAGAACGCTTTTGATAATAAAATACTGTTGAACACATGTTTCGAGCACATAATCCCACCGTGAATTTTCCTCAACGTATCAGAATGGTGTACTGTATCTTTACTTTCATAATACTGTGAACAATCTTAATGTTACACAGACTATCAGGATCTTGCACTGGTGATTTTAAGCACAGCGTTGTAAATTTTACAATTATTTGAAAACATCCGTTACTTTTCGGGCCTTAAACGCAAGCTTAGTAGTAAACTTATTCTCTGGAATGCTGTGTTTTCATAATACTTTTCGGTTATCATAATTTCATTGAACATTATTCATTATCTTTTATTACAATGCACCTGTTTAGTTGAAAAACACGGTATTAATATAATTGGCATACGATTTTGTTGTGCTAATGTAATAAATGCAAGTCATACTGAAAAATACCTTAATATAATACGACTGTTTGTGTAATTAGATTTTTATATATATAAAAAAAAGGGAAAGACATATTTTTAAATGGAAGAAATTACCGCTATATGTAATTTTGTTCTACCATTTCGACCATATTTTAATTAGAAATATAAATTGTAATATACAAAAAAATACGTAAAAAGGCGTTATTTAATAGTCTTTTCTGTTTTATGGATCACATAAAATTGTGTATAGATAGAGGAAAATTAATGTTACTTTAAAATTAACATGTTACAAAAACCTCATAAACATCTTAAGATCAATGTGGTTAATAAAGCGTATTAAATATTTCTCTTTTTTCGTTGTTAATACGTAATATGCAAATAAAGTTAACTTTGAATAAATGCAAAAATATGTCCAACTCAGTAATAAAAACTTTCTATCTATAGCTCAATAATTTATAAAAAGCTCTTTGTGTGTCTTACATGTGTATAACTGCATCATTTAATGTAAAATTTCGCAACAGCACATGTAGCCGTTCAATGAGAAGAAACAGAGAGTAAGAACAATCTCATTCATTTCATTTGACTCATAGCCTTAGCACGGTATAAATTAAAAGCCTAGAGAAACATAAATTCTTTATAAAGCTTCACCATAATTTGCTTCACCATTGGCTGTTATTTTACACGCTTTGTGTGGAAAGTTGTACATAGTCTGCAGAGGTACATGAAGTAACTCCACAATCTGTATAAAGTTAGGCTCTGCAACAAAAGTGTACGGACAAATCAGCGTTACATGATGTTCTTCTGTAATCGTGCGAGATTTTTTACGTGCAAATTTTCGGAGGAAGAAAGAGAGAGAGAGAGAGAGAGAGAGAGAGAGAGAGAGAGAGAGAGAG